GAGAGAGAGAGAGAGAGAGAGAGAGAGAGAGTTATAAGCTGATGAAAAACTCTGTGAAAAAAAAACTGGAGATAGAGTTTGTTTAGTTTCATGTACCGTGTGTGTGTGTGTGTGTAATAATAATAATAATAATAATAATAATAATAATAATAATAATAATAATAATAATAAACGGTTTATTAATAGAGTTGTAGCCGGTGGCTGAAAATATACAGACTTACATTTGATTTAGACATAATGATATAATGTGCATTGAATACATTTACAGGGCTGTACAGTACATAAATCTGGAGTTGTTTATTATTTTAACAATAGATGGGATGGTGCTGTTCTTATATCTATCGGTACGGGCTCTTATGGGCTGAATTTTGTTGTAGTGGCGGACTGCGCGAGTTGGGTGGGGGGCTGCAGGTGGCAGGAGGTGGCGATGACGGGGGTGGTGCAGAAGTCCACTGCCAAACCTTTCCAGTGCTTGGTGGTGGAGGTCACTGAGGGATGGCATTTCCAGGGTGGAGAGAGCGTTGGTGTAGCCGGAGTATTCTGCGCCTAGCATGATTCTGCAGGCCCTTTTCTGTACCTTCTCTAGCTGACGTTGTTGGGTGGAGTTGAGAGAAGACGACCAGGCTGGTGACGCATACTTTAGTTTGGGGAGAATAAAGGCGTGTGTGTGTGTACAGTAGTGAGAGGGAGGGAGGGAGTGTGCATCGTCACTGTCCCCACCCTGAAGGAGGTACGCCAGGTGTTGTCTTACCTTTAATTAATGTTTCACGTCCTCCTCGTGTGTCTTTTTGATCTTCCCGACCCTTCTACCTCACCGACGCCTCGCCTTCCCCCTGCCCACGCCTCGCCTTCCCCCTGCCCACGCCTCGCCCACGCCTCGCTGCCCACGCCTGCCTTCCTCCCCACGCCTCGCCTTCCCCCTGCCCACGCCTCGCCTTCCCCCTCCCCATGAATACTGTTTGTTATGTGTCTCTCATATGTATACTTATTGGCCAAGTACACACAGGTGAAACCCCTCGTGTGTGTGTGTGTGTGTGTGTGTGTGTCAGCATGGTTCATTCCCTTACATGTGGATCTCTCCCCCTTCCTTACTACTTACTCCCTCCCCTTCCCTCCCAACTTTGTCCCCTCCCATTTCCACCCATTTCTAAACCCACCTTATCCCTACCCTCTCCTTTCCCATCCTCCCTCTCACCTCAAGGGTAACACAACTATGCCCTCTCTTTCTCCTCAAAACGTACGTGACTATGCCCAAGTTATCCCCCCCACCTCTGTACGTGTCCGTGATGCCACCCCCCTCCCCAACCTCGCCCCCGGCCACTAGTAACTGATGGTACTCAGTATTACCTCCCCACCTCTCACTCTTCTCTTCCTCCTCTCGCCTCCTCCTCCCTCACCTTCCCTCTCCTGTACCATTTACTTGTCCTCCCTCTCTTCCTCCACCTTCCTCACCCTACTTTCCTCTCACACCTACTTCACCTCCCTCTTTTCCTCCACCTCCCTCCACCCCCCCCCCACCTCCAGAGCACCTGTCCCTACCGGATCTGTTAAGACGGCGTGTCATAATTCATAAATATTTCACCTTGTACTGTTACAGATGTATGTATGTATGTATGTATGTATGTATGTATGTACTGCACAACGTTACGATGATTACATTAACCTTTTCTCACTACAAAATTCCAGAGACATACAATCATGAATGCTGAAGTACAATCAAGATCTAATAACTACTCAATACTATTTATCTAAACAGTTAAAATCCCAAACATCATTACCGAAAAAAAAAATACCATCACTTACGTCTATTACGATTCTCTTTTGTTTTTTTGCTGGTGTAAGATGTTGATATATAATTATATCAAGACCGTGTTGACCCTGAGTCGGTGGAACCTCCTAGCATACCTCTAACTCCTTCAGGGTCAACACAGTCTTTTAAAGTACCAATAACATAGCCTCAAAATATTATTGGAACTCTTGTTGTGGTTTAATCGTTTTTTTCCCAAGATATAAAGTCACTGAGGAAAATATAAAGTACGTCGTCATATTATTAAAAGATTTGTTGTTATTTTTCGAACTGACAGGTGAATCTGGCCTTATATTTTACCACTGTAACTTTGTAAACATATAATACATACACGTATACACAAGGTCATACTCGTATACATAAGGTTGTGTATGTATGAATAATGTATATGTGTGTGTGTGGTCGGCCATACAGAAACAGGTAAGTAGACGCTAAGAGAGTGTGAGGGGGAGAGGGGGGCCACTTTCCCACGACGCACCCAAGCAACGTCACGCGACACCTGCCCGAAAGTACCTCCTTCCTCCTCCATCTGCCCCGACAGTACCGCATACCTCCTCCATCTTGCCCGACAGTACCGCATACCTCCTCCATCTTGCCCGACAGTAACGCCTTCCTCCTACACCTGCCCTGACAGTACCTCCTCCTTCCTCCTTATACCCCGACAGTACCTCCTTCTTGTCTAACAAATCTGCTGACGTTTTTTAGGAAAGTCTATGAGGTAGTAGATAATGACGAAAATTACGATGTTATTTACTTAGACTTTAGCAAAGCGTTTGGCAGAGTACCGTATCAGAGGCTTCTGAGAAAAGTTAAGGCTCATGGTATCGAGGGGAACGTTTTAAATTGGATAAAATCATGGCTCACCGATAGAACACAGAGGGTCAGCGTAGATGGTTTTAAATCTGAGTGGGGCCGTGTAACTAGTGGGCTTCCCCAGGGGTCAGTACTAGGCCCACTCTTGTTCATAATCTACATAGACGATCTAGATACTGGGATCTGCAGTGACATAAGCAAGTTTGCGGATGACACCAAAATAGGGCGGCAGATTAATTCAGGGCAGGATGCAAATGCATTACAGGAGGATTTAAATAAACTGCAGGAGTGGTCAGAGAAATGGCAAATGAAATTCAACACCAGCAAGTGCAGCGTACTTAATATTGGTAGAACAATTACTATAAACGTACATATCCTTAACAACATCGAACAAGAGAAGTCGACTTGTGAAAGAGACCTAGGGGTACTCGTAAGACCGGACCTACGGCCTAGAAAACAGTGCGTTAATGTTCGAAATAAGGCAAACAGAGTATTAGGCTTTATATCTAGAAGTGTAAGTAATAAGAATGCAGAGGTCTTATTGCAACTATATCTTGCGCTAGTCAGGCCGCACCTCGATTATGCTGTTCAGTTCTGGTGCCCCTATTATAGAATGGATAACAATTCACTAGAGTCGGTGCAGCGAAGAATGACGAAAATGATTCCGGGACTTAGAAACCTTCCATATCAAGATAGATTAAAGAAACTAAACTTGCATTCCCTAGAAAGGCGAAGAGTGCGGGGAGATATGATAGAAGTATTTAAGTGGGTGAAAGGAATCAATAAAGGAGATATAGATAAAGTTCTTATAATAACCGACCAGGATAGGACTCGGAGCAACGGATTTAAGTTGGACAAGATTAGGTTTAGGAGGAAGATAGGAAGGAACTGGTTCACAAATAGGGTGGTGGACGAGTGGAACAAGCTTAGCAACTTTGTAGTAAGTGCTGGAACGTTAGAAAGTTTTAAATGGAGGCTAGATAGATTCATGGACGATAGAGAGTGGTAGTAACTCTCGACAGGAGCTGCCATGCACAGCCAACCGGCCTATTGCAGACTCCTTATTTTTTTATGTTCTTATGTTTCTCCTCCACCTGTCTCAACAGCACCCCTAACGAAGATAAATAGAAGACTGAGAAAGACGTGGACAGAGACAAAAGAAAAAGAGAGAGAGAGAGAGTAATAAACCAATAAGATAAAACATTTAAACCCAACACATAAACCTCACCGACATAAAACACTCACGAATCACCTGTTATAGCTTCACAAGAGTCACCTGGTTAATTAAGGAAACATAAACACAAGAATACCGTCACTGAATTACGTGGTGGTTTAATTCTCTCTAGTCACTTTCTCACGTGACTGTCGCGGTCCAGTCAGCCGAGAGAGAGAGAGAGAGAGAGAGAGAGAGAAAGAGAGAGAGAGAGAGAGAGAGAATATTATTAACACGATACTTGCCGGATAATAAAAGTTAATAATAAAAAAGAAATATCCGCAAATGCACAGAAACTCGTATTATCTGAACCAAGCGAGCGTGATAAATTTACTGCGATATTTTTTGACTGATACGTTGCCGTCCTCTCTCTCTCTCTCTCTCTCTCTCTCTCTCTCTCTCTTTCTATCTGGGTATAAGTCACTTTACTCTTCCTTTGTAAATGATGTGAAATTACAGATAAAAACACACTCTGTATTTTTCTGTATTGGCTGTAGTAAGTTACAAGTCATCGTTTGGGTTCGTACAGTGCGTCTGGCTGTACTCAGGAAGTTCAATATAATATAAGTGATTGTTAATAATAAATCTTTTAGTTCCATCGAGAAAAAATATATCGAACTGTGGAACTTTTTTTTCTGCATTGAGTTATTTTTTTGGGGGGGGCGGGTGGGGGGGTCATTTTATATTGAAGAATCGTCAACACCTTTAGTTTCTAGTTTAATGTGAAGGTTTAACTAAAGTTGTCCGGGAAAAAAGTACAAAGAGAAAAAAAATAAGTCCTAGGGGAAAACAGTCTCTAGGAAAAAAGTCACAATTTCGACTAGGTTAGGTTACGTTAGGTTAGGGACTTTTTCCGTGACATTTTTCCCCTAGATTCGGTATCGTGACTCAGACTAGTACTTATTGGTTGAGTATCGTGAATACAAGTTACTGAGGAGTCGTACACACACACACACACACACACACACACACACACACATCACACCTACCCATGACACATTTACATAACCAGTAATTAATACAAGCCACCACACCTGCACGCCAGAGGTATAATTGTTAGAATTTGACGCCATTAAAGCCATTGACTACAGGAACAAATGCCATCACCTGAATTCTCCATATTAGGGGTTATTTTTTTTGGTGCAAGGTCAAGGGCGTCTCACTTACCTGGCGTATTTGAGTTCCTTGGAGATGTATTCGGCAGGATTCTTCAGGTCAGGTCAACTTAACAAACATAAGGTCAAGTTCATGTGTGTGTGTGACCTTGGTGACCTTGGCTAGTCTTGGGTCACTTGTCGGTGGCTTTAATTAAGGGAGTTTTGTCCTTAATGACTAAATGGGTTGTCAGATTGTTTCAGCAGCTTCCCAGTTCACGTAGAGTTTACTGCTTGTTGCTCTTACACTAAAGCACTCGTTGGTCACCACCCGTAATAATGTACAAACTTTGAGCAAAAGTCGGTAGAGTCTGTTCATGTCTGTCTCATTGATCACGTTATTCACTCTTATCTGTCTTCCAGTGAGGGGAAAGTCTGACACACAATATTAACTAAATCACTTCACTACAGAGTACAGTACAGTACACCATAACACTCACTCCATGCTACAACTTTTCCCGGTGCTATCCAGACTAATGCGCATCATGATATACAGTATATATACAGTTTTCAGAGAAAGTTTGTCAGATTCTTTCATTTTAACATCTGTATAATTTTGCATTTGTAAATAAGATTAACTGTGAGTGTCGCATCATGAGCGGGCGGAGTGATGCCAGGGTGAGAGCGCCTGCGGGTGTGTGTGACCAGGACGGTGGCGCAGCAGCGACTGACTCTGTCACGCTACGCTCTCCCTGTCTTTATGGCTCATCTGTGGCCCAAGACATCCTCACCCGAGCCCCACAACCTGTCCTTCATGATCATGCCTGACACTGACAGGTTCAGGACGGATGGTGTATACGTCACTGTACACGTGTATGTACCCAAGTGCTACATGCACATGATGTTCTGTACCGAAATACTCTCTCTCGGACTCCCCCAACAACCCTTCCCTCTCCCCAAATATCCGCTACCCCTCCCTTACCTTCCCTCACCCTGTCTTCACCTTCATAAGAACATAAGAATGGAAGAAACTAAAGTGGGCCTATTGGTCCATACTAGGCAACCCCATTTACACCAATAAACAACCTTCCTAGACCAGCATCCGCCAGAAGGGTCGGCGGAATATGAAATATAACCCCAAAACACCCATACTGTATATGGGACAGGGTTGGTTGTCTAGTGCCTGTACAGGCAGAGCGACCAGCCAACCAGAAACCAGCTCTAAGAAAACCACCCTCAATAACTGACCCAGGACGCAACCCTAACACACTATTAACTTAGCTAACTCCCCACCGCCCCCTCCACCTCGAATCTTCTTTCATTCCTTCTTTCTCTACAAAAGAAAAAACAAAACTGCAGCGGGCCTATTGGCCCATACTGGGCAGTCCCATTTACACCCAACCCCTATCACTCATATATCCATCCAACCTATGTTTGAAGCTATCCAGCGTATTCCAGTTAATGATGATGTTTGGTAACTTGTTCCACTCGTCCACTACTCATTTTCCAAACCAATGTTTACCTATTTCGCGCCTAAATCTAAATTTGTCTAATTTAAAACCATTGCTATGAGTTCGCTCTAGGTTGGATAGTTTGAGTACCTTTGTTATATCACCTTTGTTTAGCCCTGACTTCCATTTATACACCTCTACCATATCGCCCCTCACTCTACGTCTCTCGAGGGATTGCTTTAATCTGTCTCTGTACTCAAGGTTCATAATACTCGGGATTAGTCTTGTCGTGGATTCGATATTCATTCTAGAGTACGGTGACCAAACCTGAACCACATAATCCAAGTGAGGTCTAACGTACGCGAGATGTAGTCTAATGATAAACCATCTTTCGCTACCTGGGAGGGTTAGGTTAGGTTTAGTTTGGTTAGGTTTATTTAGTTTGGTTAGGTTTATTTAGTTTGGTTAGGTCAGGTCAGGTCAGGTCAGGTCAGGTTAGGTTAGGTTAGGTTAGGTTAACATTAGGGTAGTTAATCTTAAAGTAAAATAAGCTGGAGTGGCTAATCATCAGGTGGTCGACTTGGGTTAACAGGTATACACTTATTTCATCATTATACTTGCTTATTAAATCTGATTAATTTGTTACTCATTCACTCATATCTATAAATAACATGTTTAAATGAATTGAGAAAACTCATTTATTTTCTCTATAAGACTAAGTTATTTCTCGTCTAAGTTCTATCAAGTCGGGTTTTAATAACAGGAACCCGACCCCACACCTCTAAGTTATATCACTTACCCGACAGTTTATGCTTACCAAGACAAATAGTTTATCAGGAGTTTGTGAGTTGTATCATTCCTGGCAAACCACGAGCCTACTAACCACGAACATGACAAACCACGGACCTGACAAACCACGGGCCCGACAAACCACGGACCTGACAAACCACGGACCTGACAAACCACGGACCTGACAAACCACGGACCTGACAAACCACGGGCCCGACAAACCACAAAGCAGCAATGTCATGATGACCTGTGTTGTGATGACGTCGTTTTCTGTGTGTGTGTGTGTGTGTGTGTGTGTGTGTGTGTCAAGGAGACGAAATACAGTGTTGTTCAGAGTATTATATCACCAAACTATACAACACGGAGCGATGCATTGTATAGCGGCAGTCTGGCCAAGGGCAAGACGTTGTATATAGCAGAACAACACACACACACACACACACACACACACACACACACACACGACCTTAGAATTAATGTTTGTTCTTTCTTGTTGCTTTTGTGGAAATATTTATACTCGGCCTTGTCCCTACACGTCTTGGTAATTTCAGATCCACGTAAACACATCTCAAGATTAATTTTACTCTGTCTTCAATCACAAGAAACTTATCCATCACAATTATCGGGTTTTGAAGATTAAATCACCGTCTTTAAATAGTTAGTAAACAAGTGAACATAATATCCTGATTCTTTTGTAATGTTGGAGGTGAAAAAGTTCAAGTTATTTAAAGAGAAAAATGATCTTAATATTTGTGAATGGACATACAAAAATACGTACAAACACTCACTCAAACACACATACACAGCGCTCATTAAATTTCATGTAAGTTCAAGTTGACCAAACTCAATTGATATACCGTATAATAATGATTAATTCTTCGTCAACCTTGCCTCATTTTATTTAAACGAACTCTAATAATAATAATAATAATAATAATAATAATAATAATTAAAATAATTACGATAATATAGCAACAACACCAATAATTATAATACAGTTTTACAAAATATCGTTACTATTAAAACACACTCTGGCCTCGGAGACAGTAGCAGACCAGAGATGGACAACCTGACGCTGATAATATACGTCGATAAACTCGCTGTAATACGTAATAACACTCTTCAATAATAATATCTTTTAAGTACTGTAATATCGTAGAGGTAAAAAATATAAACATTAATTTAGTATATTGTAGCTTCACAAAATCGTAGTTTATCGTAGTTTGAGGAAGTTTTGGTTGAGGCAAGACTATTTATTTATCTCTCTGGGTTAGTAGTATGTTATGTGTGTTACGGATGTGAGTAACACTATTAAACAGTTACATTCACGGTCACTCATAAGGTCTGCCCTTGAGTGTCGGTGTTACAGTCACCCACACTCGTTACCTACTGAACATATTGCATTTAGTCTCGCATCGTAAATTCTTTCATAAATTGCCTGCCAGCCACAGTGTGTGCGTGGAGAGAGGATGAACGCACACTGTGGGAGATTCTCTCATGAGTTTGGTGATGGCCGTGCGTCATAAGATAGTCTCCCCAAGAAAGAGAAACAGAGAGAACTTGACCCACTCATTCAGTAAAAGGTCTACTCACACCAGCCGCTTATTGCTACTACTACTACTACTACTACTACACATCGCCGGGTCATGCTCACACTCACACTACACTACACGACTACTACTTCTACTATCACTACTTGTATCGCTACTACTTCTACTTTTAATTCTACTACTACTGCTGCTCTCGATCGCCTTCACTTCCCACTCACGGCTGCATGAACTAGAAGCGGGGCACAAAAGACACTGTTAATGGTTTTCAGGTAACAGTGATGCAGCGGGAACTCCTGAAACACGTTACTGTAGCCTGACTGTATTAAGTTGGATACTACAGGAGAACACGAGACGCTGTATGGGTACACGTGAGTCATAAATCTAAGTTCACATTGGGTGTGTGTGTGTGTGTAATAATAATAATAATTATCAACGGTTTATTGAAAAAGTTCTGCAACCGAAATGACTTATTACATACATTGGTGGTTTAACAAAAGCCTTCATTAGAGAAAGGTAAAGGAACATACAGTGAACATACAGATTAATGTTTACAGTGGAGGTCACGTAGATCTTGTGCGCTGAGGTGTTGAACAGCAGACACGTAGTGTAGTAATCCCTCACAGATGGTGTTAGACTTGACGTGGTGTAGTAATTCCCTCACGGATGGTGTTATGAGGGACCTCACGTGGTGTAGTAATTTCCCTCGTGGTGTAGTAATTCCTCACAGATGGTGTTATGAGGCTCACATGGTGTAGTAATTCCCTCACAGATGGTGTTATGAGGGACTCACGTGGTGTAGTAATTCCCTCACAGATGGTGTTATGGGGGACCTCACGTGATGTAATTCTCCTCACAGATGGTGTTATGAGGGACCTCACGTGGTGTAGTAATTCCCTCACAGATGGTGTTATGAGGGACCTCACGTGGTGTAGTAATTCCCTCATAGATGGTGTTATGAGGGACCTCACGTGGTGTAGTAATTCCCTCATAGATGGTGTTATGAGGGGCCTGACGTGGTGTAGTAATTCCCTCGCAGATGGCGTGTGTGTGTGTGTGTGTGTGTGTGTGTGTGTGTAATAATAATAATAATAATAATAATAATAATAAAGGTTTATTGAAAGAGCATGGCAGCCGGAAGGCTGAAAATATAGTTACATAATTGGGGAATGGGTCTCTTGATTTACAAATAATATACAAGTAACATAAGTGATACAAATATGATATATAATAACTAGGTGGGGAGAAGCTCAAACTGCAGGGCATTTCAACATAGTGACAGTGCAAAAAGTAAGATTGGCTGGGAGTGAATACACTGGTTGATTGTAAGTTATTGATAATTTTTACAATGGTTGGGACTGGGCTGTTCTTATAGCCGCATCTAGCGATTAGTTCGCGCGTGTGTGTGTGTGTGTGTGTGTGTGTGTGTGTGTGTGTGTGACCCAATTCAAACACCGCTACAAACATATACAGTATACACATTTCCCTTCTATGATTTATTTTCTAGATATTGAATACAAGTCATTCTAAATACACAGCAATTTCTTTATTTTCCTTATTACCAATTTTTTTTCACTCCTTTATCCACCGTAGAGTAATCACCCGTTTCGAACATTACCCCACAATCAACTTCTTTCAACATTATTTTTATTCTTTTATTTACATCAAAGAGGAAAAATAATAATAGCTTAAAAAAATGACTCGTAAAGCAAAAAAAAAATCACGTATCAATGGGACTTCCTGTAACACGCCACAGTCGACCACCCAGAGGAGAGTGAAAGGGATATTGACCATAATAATAATAATCTTCCGGTACTGATATTTCTAAAGAGTGACCTTGTTAGCGTCTTGGTCTTATGTGAGGTCAGAGGTCACCTTAATTTACACAGGTGACCCAAAAGGAAGAGGTATAAGGGAACGAGCCCTTGAGCTCTCACTACTTATTATCTGGAGAAT